CAACATCCTCGTTGTTCTTAGTAGAGACCGGAGGTTCTAGCTCTTTGCCGCTTCTTAACGTGATGGCGTTGGCATACTCCTTAGGATTCTGCTCAGACTTGCCTGATAGGCTATTCTGACCGCTTGTACTTGCTTTCCCCTTCTCTAGCTGCTTGATCTTGTTGTTTAGGTTGGTGATCTGAGTGGAGAATTCAGTGAGAGACGAGTCTAGACGAGTGTTCATCTCGGCAAACTTCTGGTTTGTAGAGGCTTGCCCTTGTATTAGCTGTTGAAACATTGCCTGAACCGGATCAACTTGTTGTTGCATCGGCTGTTGCTGCTGAGGTGCAAAGCCCGGAGGGTAGTTAGGCGTATAACCCTTGTTACTTTGATGTTGCCCTTGGAAGTTGTTCTGCCCTTGACCTTGGAAACCACCACTCGGCTGAAAACCTTTGTTGTAAGGGATGAAAGGTTTTGCTTGCTGAGCAGGGTACACTTGGTCCTTGGGGTTTGCAACGTTGGTGCTTCGGTAGGAGAGATTGTTGTTCTGGTTGTAGCCTTGAGGTTTGTAATTGTTCTGTCCCGCCACCCAATTGGCTTCTTCTTGGCTCAACTCAAGCTCCTCTTGATTCTCATCCGCTTCACCAACAAAGTGAACATGTTTCTGGTTGGCTAACACCAGCTAATCTATCTTCTCATGCAAAGATTTCAGCTCCTTTTTGTGAGACTCTAGCTCGGATCCTCTTGGTGCACGGTCATAGTCCTCAGCGTAGTTGCCATCACTCAATGCCAAGTTTTCTATCAGCTCCATTCCCTCTTCTACCTCCTCCTGACCAAGGAAGTTGCCTTTGCTAGCTGTGTCAAGCAACAACCTGATCTTTGGTGAAGCTCCTCGGTATATGGTGCTGAGTAGGGTCTCCTCGCTGAAACCGTGATGAGGACATTGGATCGTGTAGTCTTTGAAACGCTCCATTGCCTCGTTGAAGGTCTCGTTGTTTCATTGAGTGAAGCCGCTGATTTCGCTTCTCAACCGTGCTGTCCTGGTGCTAGAGAAGAACTTTGAGAGAAAGGCCTTCTTACACTCGGCCCATGAGGTGATGGTGCCTTGTGGGAGGGTCTTCTCCCAATGCCTAGCCTTGTCTCCGAGTGAAAAGGGAAAGAGACGCAGCTTGAAAGCATCTTCGGATATGCCATTGATCTTGATCATCCCACATACTTGCTCGAAGTTGTCAAGGTGCTCCAAGGGATCTTCCATTGCTAAGCCGTGGAACTTGTTGTTTTGCACCATGGAGATGAAACCTGGCTTAATCTCGACGTTGTTGTTTTGTACAGGAGGAGGAGTGATCCCAAACCTATTGTGATGAGTATTGGGAGCATCTCCGGCTCCTATGATCCTCGGGGGTCTAGCCGCGTGTTGGGGGTTTCCATTGCCCCTTCCTACTGCCCTGTGAGCTAGAGGAGGTCCCTCTGGATGCTCGTGTTCAGCCATAGCTTCAAAGTCAACCACCGTGCTGAACAATCTCCTCAAAGGCTCTGGCTTGTTCTCTTACACTTCTTTGCCGTGAATGACCAAGCTGATGAATATTATCCAAAGGTTGAAGTAGATTGTTATCTCCCCTTGAACGAAGATTCATGTACCTGAGAACACACGTTTGAGAGTAGAATGATTAGTAACTTTAAACAAGGTAAAGACTTAGTCTTTGCTAAGTCCCAAATCTCTATGTTTTCTAAACAACCCTAGGATGGCAACAGCGCCATTTGATAAGCACTTTTCTTTGCAAGGGTGAGTATGCAATGAGGTTATCAAACTCAAATACAAGACAGGTTGTAGCACAGTATGCAAGAGAGAGTCAATCCACAACTAGGATGATATAAAATACAAAGAGAATGCAAGGACTATGCAAATCTAAGCGAAACGAGATATGTTTTGAGAAAATCCCTAAAAACTAGATGCAATGACTAAATGGAATGCAGATCTATTTTAAAATTACCAGGAATGATCAAACTACCATGAGGAACAAACAGAATAATTAAAGGACAAAGCTACGAATTACTAAAATTCGACTAGTGGATCGACCATGGGATCGACCACTAGATCGAGCAATAACGATCGATCTCGTCTAAAAATGCAAGAACAGTAAAACTAACGACCAGGATGCTCAGAGATCAAGCGAATGACGAGAGAAGATGTAAAGATGCTAAGAGAGAGGGCCTAGGGTTTAGATTCATGGTCAGGGGTTTCAAAGGTTCGACCTTGGGTTTAAAACTTTAAATCGACTCACTTTGTGAGAATCTCTAAGCCTTGAAAACTAAGCAAGATCTATCTGTGGCTTTCGGTATAGATCACTCCTTCATCCTCTCCTCCAAACCCATGGCTTTTGGTGGAAAGAGAGGCCGAAGGGCAAGAAAAACAGATTTCAAACGAGTGGCTTAACTAGTCCCCCAAACTTCCATGGCTTTTGGGAAGGGGTAACTAGTCTCTAGGGTGTGATCTTCCGAGGTTCCTGGATCCTGTCAAGGTAAGGAACCTCTCGGATCATATTGCTCTTGGTGTGAGAGTCTTTAAGCTTTGAGAACTCGACACCCTAGAAGAGATAGCCATTAAAACACTTAGAAAACCCCAAGATCGAAACCCTTTAGACCCCTTAGATCCTCTCAACCCTGAACCCAAATGAACTACTCACTACACATAAGATAAATCAAGCAAAGCATGAAGAAAGAAGCGATGAACATGAAAAGAAACTAGATTAAACTCAAAACGATTCGATTACAAAGCTTAGAAAAACTCAAAGTTCGACCATGGTCATTATCTCCGAGTTTAGAGAGAAAAACATAAAAAAGATAAGGATCAAAAGTTGTCTGGGAAAAAGACGTCTCCGCCTTTCCAAAATGGCAAAAACAAGCTGATGGTCCCCCCCCCCCCCCTCGCTATCGGCCAAAATCGGTTGAAAGGACAGAGATCGACTCCGGGATCGAGCGGCTCTCTCGATCATCTTCGGACATCGTGTCTTCAACTCGATCTGGGTCTCGATCATTTTCGGCGGATCGAGTGTTGCATCCGATCTCGGTATCGATCTTCGATTGGATCGAGTGGTGTACTCGATCCGGCTTTCGCTCTGCATGGCGTCATTTACGTCTGTACCGATTGATCGATTGCTTCACTCGATCTTCGTCTCGATCATTCTCCTTGGATCGCCTGGTCTTCTCGATCTTCTGGTCGATCTCATCCTAGATCGACCTGCCATGCTCGATCTGTTCCTCGATCTCTGGTCCTTAGCAAATATCCGAGCTTCCACGAACCGCTACAACAGCTTCAGCACGTCCACGAACCTCCACGACTCCAAAGCAGCCAGAAACAACCTGAATGTGATGCAAAATGCAAGGAACATGCGTATGCTGGTGCAAGAATGCTCTAGGACTCTAAGTGATGCAATCTAATCTAAAATGTGATGCAAATGCATGAAAAGCTAACTAATGTGTATGTAAAATGTATGTAATATGTAGTGACATCAACTCCCCCAAACTTTAAATCTACTCACTTTGTGAGGATCTATAAGCCTTGAAAACTAAGCAAGATCTATCCATGGCTTTCGGTATAGATTACTCCTTCACCCTCTCCTCCAAACCCATGGCTTTTGGTGGAAAGAGAGGTCGAAGGGCATGGAAAACAGATTTCAAACAAGTGGCTTAACTAGTCTCCCAAACTTCCATGGCTTTTGGGAAGGGGTAACTAGTCTCTAGGGTGTGATCTTCCGAGGTCCCTGGATCCTGTCAAGGTAAGGAACCTATCGGATCATAAAGCTCTTGGCGTGAGAGTCTTTAAGCTTTGAGAACTCAACACCCTAGAAGAGATAGCCATTAAACACTTAGAAAAACCCCAAGATCGAAACCCTTTTGACCCTTTAGATCCTCTCAACCCCGAACCCAAATGAACTACTCACTACACATAAGATAAATCAAGCAAAGCATGAAGAAAGAAGCGATGAACATGAAAAAAACTAGATTAAGCTCAAAACGATTTGATTACAAAGCTTAGAAAAACTCAAAGTTCGACCATGGTCATTATCTCCGAGTTTAGAGAGAAAAACATAAAAAAGATAAGGATCAAAAGTTGTGTGGGAAAAGAACGTCGTCGCCTTCCCAAAATGGCGAAAACAAGCTGATGGCCCCCCCTCGCTAGCGGCCAAAATCGGTTGAAAGGACAGAGATCGACTCCGGGATCGAGCGGCTCTCTCGATCATCTTCAGACATCGTGTCTTCAACTCGATCTGGGTCTCGATCATCTTCGGCGGATCGAGTGTTGCATCCGATCTCGGTATCGATCTTTGGTTGGATCGAGTGGTGTACTCGATCCGGCTCTCGCTCTGCATGACGTCATTTACGTCCGTACCGATTGATCGATTGCTTCACTCGATCTTCATCTCGATCATTCTCCTTGGATCGCCTGGTCTTCTCGATCTTCTGGTCGATCTCATCCTAGATCTATCTGCTATGCTCGATCTGTTCCTCGATCTCTGGTCCTTAACAAATATCCGAGCTTCCATGAACCGCTACAACAGCTTCAGCATGTCCACGAACCTCCACGACTCCAAAGCAGCCAGAAACAACCTGAATGTGATGCAAAATGCAAGGAACATGCGTATGCTGGTGCAAAAATGCTCTAGGACTCTAAGTGATGCAATCTAATCTAAAATGTGATGCAAATGCATGAAAAGCTAACTAATGTGTATGAAAAATGTATGTAATATGCAGTAACATCAAAGACTTTGGGTTGTTGTTGGTTGACGCTTCTAAAGGAAACACTTTTAAGCCTCTAATTCAACAACTCAGCTGTAACCATTTACAACATAGACTAGCTTAACACACTAGTATATTCATTAATTATGAAACTAGAGAGTTTGGTGTAACCGGTCTGATGTAGCTCTCACACCATTATTTAGGAAGAATCGAAAGTGTGGTTCAGATTTGATGTCTAGAAATTGCAGATCAATAGAGTTAAGGTAAAAGTTTGATACCAAGGACTAATTTATCATAATTTTGTGTCATCAAATTTTGATCTATGCTTTCAATAATTTATTGTTTTTTTACTATCATAAGTGTTTTAATAATCACTTCTAACACTGAAACAAGAGTTTCACTTGTAGAAGCCATGGCTAAAGCCAAACTGATTATGAAACTAGAGAGGTTGGTGTAACCGATCTAATGTAGCTCTCAAAACATTATTTAGGAAGAATCGAAAGTGTAATTCAGATTTGATGTCTAGAAATTGCAGATTCAATGGCTTCAATACAAGCACCAATAGTTTTGGCTTTAGCCATGGCTTCTGCAAGTGAAACTCTTGCTTCAGTGTTAGAATGCAATAAGGAGACACTGTTTGAAGCTGCCCATCTGATATGAGCTTTCATTTCTATTTCTGTGAACCCTAGCCATTGCAGAACACTGTTCAACTGCAAAATCAAATCCCAGGAAAAAAACATAAGACGATTATAATAATCTCAATTGAATCTGAGTATAAGAGACGTAGGTTTGCCAAACCTTGACAACATCTGAGTAGAATCCTTCTGAGTATCCGAATAGTATATGTTCTGTTACCATCCCTCCAAGTATCACACATGAAAAGTTGTTGAGTGTCTGCACTCACAAATCAAACCACTCACTAGGGAAACAGCTTGAGCTACAAAACTATTCATTACAGCTATCTCTTTAAAAAATCTTACCTTGGATGATATCTTGCCTTGACTAATCTATATGATAGAACAAAAAAGTTTTTGGTCAAGAAGATTATGTATATAGCAATGTTTCATAATACTCGGCCTCGACCAGTAAACCGCGCGACCCGGTCACTAATCCAGTCAATAACCAATGATCCTGGTGATTCAGAGAACACTTAACTATATTTGTGGTTATGATTTTATAACATACCGATAGATCCAAATCATCTTTCATAAACTGGTTTGCAGCACCAACCTACCAGTAACAACATAATGTTTAGTTGTTAGAACATAAACAAACTTGTCATTCATTTTCTCTTTCACTATGAACAAACAACTTACTTCTTTGAGGAACTCAAAACCTACAAATTCTACTCTCCCTGTCACACTCGACACATTCTGCTTTATAGCTTCCAAGTTTGGTATTTCATAGCGTCTTGGAAGAACTCCAAGCAAGTAACCAACCAAAAAATGCCCGGATTCATGCTGCAAACGATCGCAGAAAAAGCTAGTTAACGTTTTGCACATGAACACAAACCTTTACTGATATAATCTGATTAACAAGACCACATGTTTGTTCAAATTTCATCAATTTAACAAAAACCCACAAAATTTATAGGTAAATTGAACATAAACTACAATCACAAACTTATTTTCTTTACAAGGTTTCACCAGAACAACAGCGAACCAGTCTTCTTCAAGTTAACGTTTTGCACATAAGACCACAAAATTTGATTAACCACACACCATTTTTTTATCAAATTAATTCAATTCCACAAATCCCACAAAACTTAGTAGCTAGGCATAAAGAACTGTTAAGATAGAGAGAAATTGAACATAAACTACAATCACAAACTTATTCTGTTTACAAGATTTCACCTGAACAACAGCAAACCAATCTTCTTCAGGTGAAGTTTTAGTTTCGTCCACTTTGAATATTCTAACTGAATTCTGCAAATTATAAACCCAGATTTGCGCTCAAAAGGTATATAAAACTGTAAGATCAAGAAAGACTGAAAACTCAAAAAATCAATAGCAATTATCAAAAAGTACCGATTCGGCAGAAACAGATTCAATGCTTCTGGAGACTGAATCGATCAACGAGTCTAATTTATCCAATACTGGTAATTTCTTGGGAAGCTAAACAAACACAAAATGGAAGATGATTGTAATTAGAAGTACGCATGAGAGAGAGAGAGAGAGAGAGAGAGAGAGAGAGAGAGAGAGAGAGAGAGACCAGTTTAGCAGAGCCGAAGGCAGAGAGGCAGCCATGTTTGCCTTTGAGTTGCTTGACGAGAGAGAGGGCAGTATCGTAATTACCTCTAGAGAGCTCTTTATTCAATCTCTCAAGAGCTTTCCGACGGCAATCCACCGGAGATTTCGCTCCGATTACTATCAGGCGGCTCGCCTGGAGATAAGAGGTAACGCTCATATTGGGTTGTGTTTTGAACTTTTTTTAAAGTGAAGTAGTTAACTACAATGGCGATGTAGCTCAAATGGTGGAGCGCTCGCTTTGCATGCGAGAGGTATAGGGTTCGATCCATTGACTGTGGTCTGATTTCTTTCTAAGAGTTCCTATACCAAAAGAGCAAATGGCTGCAATGCCACCATTTAAGAAAAACTAATTTCATATGCCAATCCAACCGTACCAGTCAAGACACACACATAAATAGACCTACATGCGTATATTCTATATATGAAACCATGAGCAACAAAACATTTTATTTGCTTTCCTTGACGACCATAGGAGCTCCCAAGAGTCATGATATAGCTTCATTTTCCCCCAAGTCAATGAAAGAACTTTCCCTTTTTGGAACTCATTACTTTGCTCCAATGGGAAAGTTTGACCAAAGATTACATCTACTGTCCAATCTCGACCCTTAATCCTACACAGAAAATCCTAGACGTTTATCTCATTGAGAAGCCATAAGGAAACACGCTCATTTGATTTCACTGCCCCCAAATCAAGCCCATTGCTCATTAATGCCCAACAGCTAAATGGCAAAAATCTTTTCACTTAAGCCAAACTTTATGCTTTCTTTTTATTATTCTTTACCGTTGGAAACCTTTACATTTTGAGCATTATATAAGCTCATTGACTTTGTATTTTTTTCACACAACTTCATAAAACTAAAAACCCCTTTTTATTGCTTCTAAAGAACTGTCTAGCAATCAACTGAAGACGTTTGATTAATGATTCTGCTAAACCATTTTGTGTATGAACATGTGTTATAAGATGTTCAACATTTATCCCAATGGACATGCAATAGTCATTAAAAGCCTGAGACGTGAATTCACTAGCATTATCAAGACGAATTGTCTTTAAAGAAAAATATGGAAAATGTGCTCGAAGTCTGATCAATTGAGCAAGTAACCTTGCAAACGCCAAGTTGCGAGATGATAACAAAGATACATGTGACCATCTACTAGATGCGTCAATTAGAACCATAAAATATCTAAAAGTTCCACATGATGGGTGAATCGGCCCACATATATCTCCTTGTATGCGTTCCAGAAAATTGATTGATTCTGAATTTATTTTGGCTGGTGAAGGCCATATAATCAACTTGCCTTGCGGACAAGCAGCACATGAGAAGTCATTAGAAAGAACTTTCTGGTTCTTCAATGAATGTCCACATGAATTAGAGATAATTCTTCACATCATTATTGTACCGGGATGGCCTAACCGGTCATGCCAAACATTTATGTTTTCTGTGGACTTTTGATTTACTATAGTATTAGCCTCAATCATATTGATTGTGGTATATTATAGCCTAGTGGAGAATGCAGGTAGTCTTTCCACGATAGTTTTAGAGCCTTGGGTATTATTTGTGATTTGAAGGTATTCAACGCTTCCTTTGCTCATAGTTTCAATATGGTATCCATTTCGGCGAATATCCTTAAAATTTAGTAAATTTCTTTGAGACTTAGAAGAGTATAATGCATCAATAATTTTGAATTTTGCTCCCATAGGCAATGATATATTTTCTCTTCCAGAGCCTTCAATTATCTTTGCACTACCTGTTACGGTACTTACACTTCCTTCTTTCATTGTCAAAGAACAGAAATATCTCTTACTTTTGAGAATAGTGTGGTTACTTGCACTGTCTGCCAAACATAAATCTCCATCATTCATTGTTTCTTCAAATAAATAAATAAAATAAATTATTATCTCATAAAATAAATAAATAAATTAAATAACTTAACTTAATAAATAATTCTGAAAATACATAAATTCATGGAATAAAAAGCAAAAATTCAAATAACTTAAAACCAAAATCCAAAATCCAAAAGCCATAAAATAAAAAATTAGAAACAAAGTTCTTTAAATAATTATTCCTTAATCATATTCTCATCTTCATTGAGAAAATCTGAGATGTCCAAGTGAGTAGTATCACCAAAGGCAAAGTCATCTTTTCCAAGGATAAAGTCATTTTCTCCATCTTCATACACAAAGTTTGTTTCCACATTCTTTCCCTTTTGCTTCATTGATTGTTGATAGAGCTCAACAAGATGCTTTGGGGTACGGCCTGTACGAGACCAATGGTCTCTTCCTCCACAACGGTAACATACATTCACAATTGTTCCTTTCTCTTGTTTGTTACCATCTTTCTTTTCCCACTTCTGATGAGAGTATGAGTTCTTAAATTGAACCCCACGGCCTCGTCCTCGAATGTGCCCACGACCATAACCACGTCCACGCCCACGACCACGTCTCCAATAAGGCGTTCCTCTCAGTCGAGTGACTGGCCCATTCTTTGACCATCGTTATTGGCCTTATCATAGGATGTCACATTCGCTTTAGGAAATGGAGCATAACCAGTTGGGCGTAGTCCGTGATTTTTCAACAATAGCTCACTGTTTTTCTAAGCTACAAGGAGACAAGAAATGAGTTGGGAATACTTCGAGAATCCCTTCTCACGGTATTGTGTCTGCAAGACAAGGTTATTTGGATGAAAAGTAGAGAATGTCTTCTCTAACTTATCAGCATCTGTTACTTTCTCTCCACATAACTCCAACTTGGAAGTAATATTAAACAGAGCTGAGTTATACTCACTTACAGAATTGAAGTCCTGTAATCTCAGGTGAGTCCAATCATAACGAGCTTTAGGTAAAATCACAGTTTTCTGATGATCATACCTTTCTTTTAAGTTATTCCAAAGAATTTTGGGATCTTTCACTGACAAGTATTCATTTTAAGGCCCCCATGAAAGTGATGTCGAAGGAATATAATAGCCTTTGCCTTGTCTCTACTTGGAGTTTCATTTCCTTCTCTTATAGTCTCAAGGAGATCCTTTGAATCTAGATGAATTTCAGCATCTAGTGCCCATGCCAAATAGTTATCTCCAGGGACATCAAGAGCTCCAAATTTAAGGCTTGTAAGAGACATAATTAACTCACTGAAATAATCAAATAATAATATAAGATTTCATAGAATAAATATCAAATTTTAAACTTTTATGAATAATGATATATCGACTTATGTACGATGACATCAAAAGATTTAAACACACAATATTTAATTAACATATGCATCTTCAAAAACAATTTTAATGAATCTTAATTTCATTCTAAACATAAAATTAAATTTATCCAATTAAGCCAACACTACTATTAACGATATTTACTAACAGTTAAAAAGCTCATATAATACCAGAAAATATTAAGCAACAGGAAAGCAAATCTCCATAATAAGCACACTACAAATCTTAATTTATGATTCGATCGAACTATTAACAATAAATTAATAACATGATTAATACATGTAGTGTGTAACCTAAGTTCATAACATTACTAATTTCTGTAATATTCATGTGAACCAATTTTCCCAAACATATCGATTCAAAATAATAAAACTTTTGTAGCATTTAATGAAAATTTGATGTCATGAACGAAATTAAAACGGAGTAGTAGAAAACATGAGTCAATCATAATTAAGCAAGTGAGATGAGCGATATATTAGATGGTTTCTACTACAATCATCATTCAACATCTCCATCAACTAGCTTTAAAGTCTTGAATCAAGAAGCTAGCTTTAAAGTCTTGAATCAAGAAGTGTGAGAATTGGTGGAATTCATTCTTATATAAGTTAGAGTATACAGAAAGATGCATACATGCTCTCGGGCTGTTGAGAGTACAAGCAGTAGTAGAAGGAGAGGCACCCAACGATAGTAGCATCTGTTTTGCAGCAAGACTATCCATATCGATTTGACACCTCAGTTCCCAAAAATATCGTGAATTTGGTTGAAAGTAGAGTTGGTGTTACTGTGTCCTACTATACCGCCTTAAGAGGAAAAAACGAGTTGTTAGTGATGTGTGGAGCACTCCTGAAGAAGGTTATAGGATGTGATACTCCTATTTCTACATGTTAGAGGGAGTAGTAACAAGAGTGGAATTGGATGCAGAGAAAAATATACTGAGAAGCGTAATAGTTGGAAGTGGTTTTTCAAGAAGCTGAAAATCGTTATACATGATAATCCTGAATTGGTTTTTATGAGTGACAGACATAAATGCATCATAAAAGCAGTAGCGAACATGTATCTCCACTCTCAGCATGGACATTGTATATGACATTTGTTTCAAAACGTGAGAGGTGAAGTTCAGTATAAGGTGAACAAAGATCTTGTGGCAGCAAAATTCCTCCAATGTGCTCATATTTATACTGTGAGTGAGTTCAAAAGGGAGTATGGTGGTTTTAAGAAGAGGCTTCCTGCAGCTGTTGTGTATTTGCATGAAACTGTAGAGTTGGATAAGTCAGCATGGTGCTACTTTAAAGGAGAAAAGTACAATTTAGACACCAGCAATTCTTGTGAATCTCTCAACAATGTGTTTAACAAATCAAGGAAGTACTCTCTTACCAATGATTGATGCGATTGTTGAGAAAATGGCTTATTGGTTTAAGAAGCATAGGATGACATATGCTGGTATGCCACCTGAAAGTATGTGATGCCTTATGTGGACAACAAATTGCATGAACAATGTCCAATTGCTGCTTGTTTAGTTGTGACTGAGCTAAACATCTTTCAACTTGAATACAACGTTATTGGACAAGATGGGAAGGCTTAGTTGGCGGATTTGTTGAGCAAAAGTTTCTCTTGCAGAGGGTTGGATATATACATGTATCCTTGTGTTCTTGCAATAGCCGCAGCCACAATAATATTAGTGTATATGACTTGTGCTCCTAATATTACTTGATTGAAACATGGGCATTGGCATATTACATGATGATTTGTCCAGCCAAATTTGTGTAGTTGGAATATTTCTGAGGATATACAATTCTGATTTTTATTTTGTCGAATACGCACTTCCAGGTTCAACTGGGTGCAACTATTAACGTTTATATATTTGTCTTTCTCTGATTTGCAATACTAAGTGCAACTCGGTACACATATAAACAGTTACATATTTGTCTTTCTTGAACTCGCACCACCAGGTGCGACTGGGTATAACTATTAATAATTTTGGATTGTCGATTTCGCATTACCAGGTGCAACTAGGTACAAATATGAGGAATTACATAAGTTTCAAACTTGTGTCTTTCTCGA